AAACCATCTAATCCTAATCGAATATGATATCTAAATACAATTCAAATAGATTTACTTTTTTTTTTTAAATATATGAAAAAACTGAATCCAAATCCGAACCGAAAAAAATCTGATATATCAGGTTTTTGAAAAAAGTATTTACATATTATTAGAAAAATAAATATAATTCAGAATAAAAGCCAAAAATCGAACCGAATTTCGGATTAGCAAACCGAAGTTAAGAACAACCCCCATGAAATAGAAGTAGACCACAAACTTAAGATTACGTATGGGCCCAAAGCCCAAATACGTGATAAGCTTAACGGAGGATTAAAACGCTGCGTTTCAAAGATTAAAATTAGTAGGCATCATCGTCCTAACTGTTATTTTATCCATTTATTTTGGTTATAACCAACGATTTTAGCGACTACTGAAGAGCCAGCCACCACTACCAGCAAATCGGATTCTTCGTTCGTGTGTCAATGGCGGCCGTAAGCATCTCACTTGCTTTCTCTATTGATTCTCTTAAGCCGAGTCAAACCACGAAGATTGGTCTCTCTTCTTCTTCGCCTAGATATCCATTACTGTATTCGTTTAGATCTTCTCACCGCTCCAATCTCCGATTCGCTTTCCCTCCTCCTTCGCAATCGTCTTCGGTTTCTACAGTCACAGAAACTGCAGAAGAAACTGCGAAATCAAGCGGAAGCTACTCTTTTCTCGAGGAATCGTTTCGTACTGGGAGATTTTTGAGTAACGAGGAGCTCGAGAAGCTCAAAGCTCTTGAAGGGTTTGCGTATTTCCAAGAGCTTGAATCCGGATCGATGTGGGTTCGTGTTATGAGATCCGAGGAGATGGACTCGACGGTGAATCTACTGGCGGAGTCATTCGGCGAGTCGATGTTATTGCCTTCTGGTTACCAGTCCGTGTTACGCTTCTTAGTGAAGCAGTATCTGATTGAGAGGAGGGAAGTGTTACCATACGCAGTGACCTTAGTTGGGTTCTACAAGAAGAGAACTGATTCGTGTAGTGATGGTGAGGAGGCTGAGATGGCTGGCACCGTAGAGGTTTGCTTGGACAAACGAGGAGCTAATGCTTCTCCTCCTTCTCCGACTCCTCCCAAGGAATCACCTTATGTCTGCAACATGACTGTTAAAGAGGACCTTAGAAGGTACAGTAGAGTTTCTTCAATATGTTTCGTTTGTGTAGAAGAAAAAGCTTATTGTGTTTGTGTGATGACTTGTTAGGAGGGGAATTGGGTGGCATTTGTTGAAGGCGAGTGAGGAACTGATATCTCAGCTTAGTCCTTCAAAAGATGTCTACTTGCATTGCAGGATGGTCGATGAGGCTCCTTTCAGTATGTATAAGAAAGCAGGATACGAGGTTGTTAAGACAGATACCATTTTCGTACTTTTGATGTTACAACGGCGTAAGCATTTGATGTGCAAGAAGCTTCCACCATTCACCAGCCCTTCAGATACTGTAGATATGATGGAGTCTGATAATGAGCTGACCTCCTCTGCCAATGTGTGAACACAGGTACAGTGTTTCCATCCATGTTACCAATTAGCTTTTGGTATTTGTGTGTCTTTTCTGAATTCATAGCGAAAATCCGATGTTGAACCAACTAACTTCAAACTGGTTGTGGTTAGCTCCATCATGCTGGAGCTATATGTGACTTGACCAAGAGCATGGGTTGATACCGCCGTCCTCCCACTGTTGCTGTTCCATTTTCTTGCTTCCACTTGCTGTTTATATGATCTTAGTAGAGGTATGTCACTCACACTCGTATCTTAGACTCTTAGTCAGACGTAACTTCCTGTTGTTTCCTTCTTCCAGTATTAGCAGTGAATATCTTTCTTGTTTGTATATGTGCGGTCCAAAGCTTACTTTAAACATAAGGCGAAAAGGGAAACAGAAAAGGCTTCATCCTGAATATATATAATATACTCATTTCTCTTCAAGCAAAACATTCATGGCAAATACAGCATACTATACAAATATGTGAACTGTTTGACCCGATTTACTTGGTGACTTTATAGTATATACATCCAAATAATGTTGATATAAGTTTAGCAGCTGGAAGTTGAATTTTAATATTCCCGTAATCTTAAATAGGATTGTTTTCTTTATCTTTTATCAAGTTTAATCAGCGACCTCTCATATTTGGAAAAATGACGTTACCCATATTACTGGTTTCGAAGAATCTTGTGTCTAGAGCCTTCTGAATGTAGGAATCGTCCCACCCAAACCACCCTTCGAGTTTGTGTAGATAATTAGTTGCAGTTCCTTGACACAATCCATTACCGAAGGTCGCTCGCTGCTCTCTATACGGATGCACCGTGATGCCAGATCAGCAAACATGGCTATAGCTTCCATGCTGTATGAATTCCGAGGCAGCTCGGGATCTATAACCTTACGCAATTTCTTTCTATCATTCAGTATATTCCTAACCTGAAACATAGAGAACAATGAGCAGTTTATTCCTATGCAAAGTTTCCTTTACTGCTGAACTTTTGGGTATGCCAATCTTAGAACCTAGAAGGGCCATTTTACCTGTAGCACCAGGTTCTGTTCATTTGGGCCCTGAGTTAAGTCAACTGCTCTGCGTCCAGTAAGTAGTTCTAGCAGCACAACCCCAAATGCATATATGTCGCTTTGTAAAGTAAGTTTGCCTGTCTGTCATAGCAAAATTAAAAAAATATTATGCTAAAACCTGTCCTTCCTTGCTTATGGGTTCTGATATGTGAATGTGATTTAAATTCCTTTTCCTGGCCTTTTCATGTCATTATTAGCGGGTTTTTAGTTTAGTTTAAGTAGCATCTAGTTTACCCTTAGCCTTTTCAACTGTTTTGATATAGAGAGAATCAGTAAGAATCTTTACCGATGTATATTCTGGGTCGAAGTAGCCGAATGTTCCGAGAACTCTTGCTGTCACACAAGTTTCCTTTCCCTCTGGCATCAACTTTGCTAGTCCAAAGTCAGATATCTGCAAAAGGGTTACATTCACATCTTAGTATTAGTCAGTGTATGCTTGATTTTACTGCTGCATATCATCCATTTTAATCTACTTTATAAGGCACCTTTGCGTTATAGTTGGAGTCTAGTAGCACATTGGTGGATTTGAAATCTCTGTGAACAATTGGAATCCCAACAGCAGAACTTGAATGGAGATACGCGAGTCCTTTTGCTGCTCCAAGTGCAATTCTGAGCCTTACCGGCCAGCTTATTTTTGCTTCTTTTATTCCTGTGATAAAGAACCGGTTTAGTGGCCAACTGGCTTTAGTGGACTTGACTCTTATTTCGTTGACTTACCAGTTAAATGATCTTGCAGGTTTCCGTTTTGCATATATTCATATACTAGGAACCGTTGTTTTCCATCAGCGCAGTAGCCAATCAAAGAGACCAGATTTGGATGGTCAAGTCTGCTCAAGATATCCACCTCCACACGAAATTCTCGTTCTCCATCAGCCTTTTTAAACGGAGGTAAATCCATCTTCTTGATCGCAACAACCTTCAAATATAAAGGAATCAAGATCATTTGTATGCTCTTCTAACAGCCCATCATCTTTCACAATATATGCTTATAGAAAATGTTTCTAACATTACAAAGCCTGTAAATCACATAAATGGAAGCGATATAGTTCATACCTCTCCTGTTTTTAGAGTGCCTTTATAAACTCGGCCAAAGCCTCCTTTACCGAGCAGATTCTCATCACTGAAGAAACTTGTGGCCTCCTCCATTTCCTTGAGGGTATAAACTGATGACCCGTATCTCCGTTTCCTTGGCTGAGACGGTGCTTGATCATTGATTTGCCAGCACTCAGCTGCTCTGTAGACCCCTGAGAAGAAGGTTAGTTTCACACAGATGGTTCAGTTTCACCTAAACTCCCTTTTATTCAGTAATAGTAATGTCGAAAAACAAAAAAAAGGTCAACATACGTTTATGCCATCTGGCGAAGATGATGGAGAAAAGGAACGTACATGGATCCGTATCATAGGATTTGCTTCTCCTTCTCTTGTTCCAAGCCGAAACAAGAGGAAAATGCATAGCTCTAGCTTTTGGGTTTTTACGCCTTGTAGGTGCGAGAGATCATACCAAAACCAAGAGAAGAAGCTTCTGGTCGTCCTTAGCGTTAAATTATTCGTTAGGTAAGTTGGTTCCAAATTCAAAGAAACAGAAAAGATTGTTGTGGTTGAAAATGAGATATATAGGGGAGTGTATGAAATTCTCTCTGGTTCTTTAAAAACTTTGAGTGTTAATTTGATATTGAGGGTTAGATTTCTGAAATACTCAACAGCATTATTTCAACTACCGAAGTTGTAC